TGCGTGTTCGGTTTTCCTAAAACCAAGTGCTAATGGGAAAGAGAGTTCAGTGAAGATGAGGACTCAGCCTGGCACGCTGGCGTGCGGACGTTAAGACGGCACCCTGACCTTTGGGAGACAGCTGGAGAGTGGCGGCGGGGAGGCTGAAAGGCAAGGTGCCAGGGCAGTGGAGGTGAAATCATTCAGAGGAAGTGGAATATTTAAAGCAATCAAAGGGATGATGGAGGGAAGCGGAGAGGAACCAGGGCTAAGATGAGACGGTGTGCGATTGAGGGGAGATTGGCTGGGATGGCAGAGCAGTGGATGAGACGAAACCACCTGGGTTTTGAAAATTTATAGGAACAGGTCTGATTCTGCTAGAACAGGAAAGGTGAAAAGCATCCAATAAACTGGAAGGAAGGTGTAAGTTGAGGACCAAATGCTTCTCCAGGGAGACTCCCAGAAGCCTTTGCCTTGAAATGTATCCTGCCCTATTCAAAGTATAGTGGGGTTGCCGACATACCGTATTGATCCCGGTTATTAGTAAGACATAGGCTTTACCTTGTTGCAGGCTTCTCTGTAATAGGGCGCCTGCTTGACTGGGGCTTCCTTCCAAAGTGTTACACCAAAGTTTTTTGTTGTTCTTCTGTCTTTTTATCATTTTCCTTAGCTCTTTCCCCTCATTTTTTGGGGGGTCAGCAAAAAGATAATCCCAGGCCTGGCACTCTTCCCCTGAGTAGCAACCTGCCTGTATAGATGCCACATATTAAAAAGTCTCCTTATCATCCCACTACGCCATGCATTTTAAACTTGAACCTGGTAGGTAGTAGATGTTCACCAAACGTGCATGGAATGCAGTGGAATGATTGAAGTGTTTTAATACGGAGACAGGCATTCATATAGATGATTATTAGCTGCTAGTCAAACTTATGGAAACCCACAGTCCATCATCCACCCAAACACACCGAGAAGTTTCTATTACAGATGAAGAGAGTATGCATTCTTCCCCCAGAAGACTGAACACACATCCGTGAAGCCGTACTTTAGTACTGAGGAGAGGCCAGCTAAACTCCAGTGCCTTTGGCCAAGGGTTCTTTTTTGCATTTAAGCCTCAGAGTAGTTGGTTGATGAAGGCAATGGGCAGTCAGAGACGTAGAGCAAAGTGCATAAACGGAGGAAGGATCCGGAGCACCTAAACTTTTCTAGTACGTTTTAGTTGCTTAATTGCTAAAGGACAGATACTTCCGGCGATGTTCACTGCACAACGTGTCCAGCACATCTCACAGAATGGATTGACCTATTTATTTACCCTTGAGGGCCACTTGAAAGCTGAGTGAAAGACAGGCAGGCCCACAGTCGAGGCCAGAATGAGCTCCTACAGCCACTGGGACAAGGTCATATTTCTCTACTACCTTCTCTGCTCCACCCAACTCCAGCTCCTGGAGAAGAAAGAAGTTGTGTTTTCCTTCCCAACCCATTTCAAAGCCTTTACCAGTTACTCCAAACGCTGGTTCCATTGGCTGCACAAACCCTCGGGAAGCTTGTTTAAAAACCAGGTGACAGACTGCTAGGCCGCAGCACCGAGGTTCTCCCTGGGGATGTGTGGGACAAGGCCCAGGAAGAGGGATTTGAACACAAATGATTAATAGACCTCTGAGCACAGGGGTTAAAGAGACCATTTACACCCTGCATTCAAATTCCGGCTGTGCCACAGACTAGATGCGCTATTTCAGGCACATTTTAATGTGTACTTGAATCTCAACTTTTAAAAAACTGTACTTAATAATACTCCTCTGGGTGATGATTAGGATGAAAGGGGATCTCCTATGCCAAGAACTTTCTATCCTGCATAGAGTAAACACTCAACACATAATTTTGGCTGCATTCCTTTGAGCAAACATGAAGCTACTGGGAAATGGTCCCCAGTTAACACTGCAGACCCTCTGGACAGTTCCAGAAGGAGCAGCGACTCCAGCGTGACTGTTTCTGCAACTTCTTACAGTCTTGTTCTCGCTCACAAAGACGTTACTGGTTTTGCCACAAAATGCAAGAAGGCGATTCTTCAAAATAATTTTATGGGAGACCTTTGGGCCCGCTTACATTTGGTAGGGATGGGAAGACAGTGAGGCGCGCTAACACTAGACCAGAGGAGTGCAATCGCTTTTGGCAACAGGAGGCCCAGGCCACGTTTGCAAAGCTGCACACCGTGCATGTGTGAAAATGGAACACTTGACCCAGCTCCATGATAGCCCGTGCCTTGAGCTGTTTTGGCCCGTATAAAATTGATTCTGTCCCCACTAGGCTGTTTTTAGGTCATTCAAGCAGATGGTAACCGGCTCACATTGGGACCAAACGCCTGAACTTAAACTTTTGGAAATGAATGAAGAAATGAATGGATTTCCTCTGAGGCCAAGAAACCCTCCTGACATCTGCGAGTCCATCCTGGCCTTCTGGTCCCTGGAGAAAGGTTGGCCCTTTGTTGCTTGGAGAATAAATAAGCAAGGATTGCTCCAAGGTGTTTCCTGCAACCATGGGCTCCTTCCTTCCTGGACGTAGTGACCCAGTGGCCCACGCTGGAAGACAATATGGCATGTCCTTTTTTCCCCCAACAAGAACCCTTTCGACAGCAGAGGTATTTTCACAAGTTAGGTGCTCGCTGGTGCTCCGGCTCATGAGATTTAGGTCACACACACAAATACAGAGGGAAGAAGTATGGTACGGAGTCCATTTATTTGATAGGCACACAGGGAGAAATAAGGACAGGAAAGGGAAAAAGAAATTCAAAAATAGAGGAAGGAGTACAAAAAGACATTTATGATACTCTGGGATAGAAAAGTCTCCGTTTCAGCTTGCAGTTGAGAAAGATTTCTAAATGCTTCCAAATCAAGGGATATCTGCAAATCTTCAAAACCATTGTGAATCATTTTCAAAATGCTCATTCCCTCCATTCAGAAAGCATTGATTACAATCCAGCCGTTTGCTGGTACACTGATGCTCTGTAAAGGAAGCAAAACAAAGTTGATTGGTAGCTAGCCAGCGCAGTGAGGAGTGAGGACACACGTGTGCACACATGCACACAGGCGCTCACTGCGAAGCCAGTGGGGACCCCTGAGGCTAACCTTGTTGGTATTGGGGGCCCCAGACACTTAATGATTAAGGCAGGAGGGAAGGAGAGGCCAAAAGACTTTGGCCAACTGGGCCGAGTTCCCTTTGGAGTGGGTCTTGAATTGAGAAGGATGCCTGGATTTAGGTAACAGCCAAGGAGAGCGGAAGACATCCCGTATCAGAGGAAACTGTTCAAACAAAAGCCAATAGGAGGAAATGAGCTCGCATTGTGTGCACACATGAGGTCCACAGAAAGGAAATTGCCTGATTCCGGACATTTCCGATGCCTCCTGGAGCCACAAGGAAAGGCTGGGCCTGTGTTCCCGCAACCTGGAGAGTGTCTTCCTCCACCCAGAGTTGGCTGCAGTGAAACGGGCAGGATTTTAACACAACTACCTACATTCTTAGACTTCTAGAAACTTCTCTTACAAGATGTTGTCCTAGGGGATCCAAAAGGCGATTCCTTATGTTATTGTTTGTGCTTTAGGGTGTGTGGATCTAGGAGAAAGTGGGGAGCAGGCACTTGGCTCAAATGTTCAGATCTCTTTTCTGGGTAAATCTCCTTCATTCTTCAGGCTCCATCCGCTAGCTGAGGCTCGGACCCACTTCTTTTTTTGGCTTCCTGGGGTGGGCCCGGCCAACTGGGATGAAGCTCCTTGATGGACTCAAGACGGATTTACATGCAGGCACCTCAGCTAGACAATGGTGGCATTGCCAGTCTTGCTACCTGCCATCTTCTCTCCAAAATAACAGTCCTGGCCATGAGCTTTAGATTCTCTAGGGTACAGCCTGGTGCTGCCTGGTGCCTCGTGGGGAACGCAGAAACAGGCATGATGTCTCCAGTCCCCAAAGACTTTAGGGTCTAGAAGAAGGGCATTCACTTCAGTAAACATCATAAGAAATGGGAATGTCCCCGGCACCACCGAGCCCCTGGGGGGAGGGGAGCAGGGGAGGGGCTCCTATGCATTGTTAAAAAGCTTGATATGAGCAGGACTTGTGGGTTTTATTTTTTCTCCTTGTGTTGCCTGATTGACAGTTTGAGTACAGTTGAGCTTGGCTTTGTGGGGATGCTACTGTAAGGGGCATGTATCATGGAGTCCTTATGAGTGACATCATCTCTGAAAGCGGGGCCCCCAGAAGGCAAAGTGCAGGACCAAGTAGGGCTCCTCGCTGGACACGGGGCCCGGTGATGTTCCCCCCGGGAAGGAGCCTCCATCGTGCTCTCTCCCCTCCTGCCTCTGCCTCAACCCCCAGAGCTAGGTAGGCTTCAGGCGCCCTCCCTCCGCCCCCCCCCCCCCCCCCCGTGACTGTCCGCGACAGTGGCCAGTGGCGGGCGTGGGCGGTGAAGGCAGGAGAGAAGCCCTCAAGACTGTGCTCCTTCAACACCTCGGGTTCCACTGCGGTTTAGGTGGATGGATTTTCAGTGGATTCCGGAGGATGAAAAATTCACGTCCTTAAATCATGTTCTGGTGACATACCACGGCAACAAGATTGGCTCCAAGGACCTAAGGACTAGAGTGGGGGTGGGGGGTGGGTCGGAGTGGCTCTCTGGGCAGCAGAGACGCACCAAACAACAGCAAGCAAAGAAGGGGGGAAAGGGTGTCACAATCTCCTTCTAATTAGCATGTTCCTTCTAATTAGTGGCTTCTGGGGCTTATCAAGTCTCATCTATAAACTAAAAGTAATAGGCAGTTAGAGCTTTTTTTTGTTTTCTTTTTTGTTTTCTGTTGGTTTTTTTTTCTTTTTCTTTTTTTTCTTTTTTCCTCCCTACCCTTCACGGGAAAAACACACGAGTTAAGATTTAGTTTGCCAGCAAACAGCATAATGTGTATGCACGGAAACAAAACGATGTTATTCAGCGTGGCTCAGGCTGGATATTTAAGGAGATTTTTTTATCCTCCAGCATAGATCTTGTTTTGTTATCATTCATCAGAAGCAACAAGAAAAAAAAGGTCGAGTACAAACTTCTGGAAGATCCCTGCCTGCTCTCTTTACATCTCTGTCTCCCACAGCATCAAAAAGGCAAGAAAGAGAACCACACCCTTCTCTTGGCCACGGCCTGGATAGTAAGTTGCCCTCCCCTCTGGCTAAGAATGACGAAATAAAAATACAATGCATCTCACATGACATTGGATCATGGCGGTTTCAAAATTCCTCATAGTTTAAAGGCTGATTTACAGGATTAGGTCATAGAAATGCCTGTAAAATTCCAATGCGATTATTTAGTTGTGTTCAGTTTGTTTCAAATATTACCACATGCCCCAAGGAAAATCCCACTTGTGTAAGATCTTTGTAATGAATTGAAGTTTGCCCGCAGGACTTTTTTTTCTTTTTTTTTTTTTTTAGCTCTCCTGAGTAAACACGGACTGTAATTTCCAAAGCAGCAGATTGAGGGATACACAGGGGAAAGGGGACCTGTGCCCAGTAACACTGCTGAGCAGATCATGATCAGGAAAGCTAAGAAAAATTTAGAAACGAATAGAGACAAGTCAACTTATGTTTAGGATGGTCCCGCGAACCATTGAAGTTCACTGAGAACCATGAAACTTTGGCTTTTTCGTGTATTAACAGCCCTTTTGTGCCATTGTTTTACAGTGCAGACCAGCTGATAATGTGCCCCGTTCCTCATTAACTTTGCGATCTCATTCTTTGCCACGCATATAATGGCCTGTTTGTTTTGCTGCTGATGCACGCCGGCCGAAGAATCAGACGTTTGTTTCACGGGTGCTTGTTTTGAAGAAATCAGTTCTGGGTACATCTTTACACTGCCCACAAAAACAGAGGCTTATCTGGGTGAAAGACACCCCAGGTCTGCACTGGGGTGGGCGTCCATGTACCACTACTATAGAAAATGAAATTGAAATATAATAAAACTCCCTTCCAGTGTAATTACTAAAGAGCCTGAATTATCGGCTCTGCCTAAAGATGTACACTTTTATTAATTATACCAACATGCGGCAATTCATACTGGCCAAGAGTATTTCTCATAATGGCTCTTAAGAAGTTCTTATTAATGAAGAGTAAGAATGATTTATAAGTAGTATTACAGGTATTTATATCTAAATGAATGGTAATGAAATGCCTGAGAAGTTTGGTCTCATAAGTAGGGTAAATAATCCCATTAGAATGATGTTAAGTCTATTAATTTATTCAGCAAGCACACACCCCTTCTGCCCCCTTTTTTCATAAGTAATTCAAAGGTAACCTTTAGCCTACTCTGGGGGTGGTTTCAGCTCACAAGGGAACTCTGATCAGTTGGTGGTGGCTGCCTGCCTGGAAACTTGTTTTGAGAGATTTTCCAGTGCCAAGTCCAGATTCCTAGGGAGAAAACGCTAGGATTGATTAGTCATGCCTGCTGTGGACCGACAAGGTGGGAAGAGGGCAACTGAGTGGCATCCATTTACTGCCCTTGGATGGACCTTCAAAAGTGCCGACCAATTGGTAGTGTCACAAAGTCATCTCCAGCATACACTGACGACCAATAGTGACTTCAGTGATGCTGGAAACACAGTTTGTAGGTACCTTCAAAATCCACAGTTGAAGGTTCTTTTTACAAGAATGGTAGCCGTTGAACTATCTGAATTCACTTAAACCCTAAGTAAGGGAAAGTAAGTTGAATTTAGTCAATGTAGCTATATAAATGCATGTTTACTTTTCCTAAGTGTAAAGAACAGAATTAAGTACAACCCTTCTTTCTGGATGTGATAGTTGGGGGATGGAGTTGGGGAAGCTGTTGTTACATAGGAAGGAGCCCTTTGAAATGGTATTTTGAAACTTTGTTTCAATTTCAAGCACAGTCATTGCATTTTTTGGAAAGAAAGTGAACAGGTGTTTCTTTCCCCTTCACTAAAACAAAAATCTGAAATCTCAGGGCCAGGCACACAGAACAGCCTGATTTTCTTTCATTTCCAAGTTAAATAACAAATAACAAACAGCACAGAGGAAAGGAACTGGCTCTCTTAAAGCACTTGCTCTCTTCCAGGCACCTTGACAACTGTTTTCAAAACGTTAAAAAAAAGTTATAGTTAATGCTCCCAAGTTCCCTGAGAGATACCGAATATTGTCCCATTTTATAGACATGAAAAATGAGGTTTAAGAAGTTTAGCTGTTAGGTCAATATGGAGCTTCAGTTGCAACCTGCTTCTAAAGCGGGCTGAAATTTCTGTGTGAAGTTCGGAATTTAAACGTAAGCCACTTGGGCTAACTTTTTTTTTATGTTTTATTTATTTCTAGGAGAGAGAGAGAGAGAGAGACAGCGTGAGCAGGGGAGGGTCAGAGAGAGAGGGAGTCACAGACTGAAACAGGCTCCAGGCTCCGAGCTGGCAGTCAGCACAGAGCCCGACGAGGGGCTCGAACCCACGAACCGCGAGATAGTGACCTAAGCGAAAGTCGGACGCTTAACCGACTAAGCCACCCAGGCGCCCCATGGGATAACTTTTAAATGGGACTTTTGCGGTGACACTTTAAGTACTGACTAATAATTCTAGAACTTTAGCATTTTGAGAGTTCCCAATAAATATTGGCTACTACTATTTCTGTCCCTCTAACCTCCCCCCTTCTCTCGTGTGTGTGTGTGTGTGTGTGTGTGTGTGTGGTGAATATCTATGGAACTTCAAATGCTTATTGCATACCACTTTGCATTTTTATTTTAAAAAAAGTGAATGCCTACTTTTTATGTTAGAAAATTATCTAAACCTAGAAAGGGTAAATTTTTATAGGAGAATAAGGACTTAAAGTACACAATAAAATCAGCAGTGTGTGTAAGAAGCTGGAATATCATCCTGACATTTTACACAGTATGTACATCGCAGTTCTAATCCAGAGGAAGTCTGCTTTTAGTTAAATGCTGTGACTAAACCCCTGTTTCTAAAATTCCCCCTCTCTCTTTTGGTGGGAGGGGGCAGGGTGGGGTTGGCGCTAGAGAGAAACTTTTTTTTTCTTTTTTCTCTGAGATGGCTTTTTATTAATTTCTTTGCTGAATTTTTGACCCTGTAAAGAAATAGAGAGCTATTGTACCAAACCGCAGAACAGGACAGGCTACCCCAGAAGGGGTTTTCCTTCCTGCTGAAGGACACAGATAGCAGCTTTATGAGCTGGTTACAGTCAGCTTTATCGCAAAGCCAGTAGATTTTCTTAATATACTTATTGCTGTTCTGTAAATAGCACAAGGCAGTCATGAATCTGAATCACTTATGGGGTCAAAATGAGACTGACACTGGTAATCTTGGGGAGAAGTGTTAAGGAGACTCACAAATGAAACTAGTAATTGGAATTCTTTCTAATTCTGTAGGCTGTTAGGCTCCAGACCAATCTTTTGAGTGCCTGTTGTCTGCTTCTGAAATTTACTGAGATATTGCATGCTGGAAGCACTTTATTCACTCTATAAGATGCTCCATAAGTGCCAGCTGATAATATGATAATAACTATTAAAACTTTTAATTAAGACATGAAGAGAGCTCTACGATTGCTCACCGTGTTTCTTTAAAAAGAGAATTCATTAGGGGCGCCTGGGTGGCTTAGTCGGTTAAGCGTCCGACTTTCGCTTAGGTCATGATCTCGCGGTTCGTGGGTTCGAGCCCTGCGTCGGGCTCTGTGCTGACTGCCAGCTCGGAGCCTGGAGCCTGTTTCAGTCTGTGACTCCCTCTCACTCTGAGCCTCCCCTGCTCACGCTGTCTCTCTCTCCTAGAAATAAATAAAAATATATATAAAAAAAAGAGAATTCATTAAAAACCGCAGTAAGCTCTATTTGCTTCTTTATGGTCAAGAATATTTGCAGGAACAGGGATCCGAATACTGGCTCTATGTGAATCACTAAAAGCCATCAGAGAACAGGCTGAGACTTTTTTTCTTGAAAAGGGTACGGTACCTTGATTTTTAAAATTCTGAATTATCTTTTGATTCCCTTGGAAAGAGGGACAGGAGAAAGAGCTATTTCCTAAGGTCTAGGACAGCTTTTACTTATTTTATTTTATTTTTTTTATAATGCTCTTCTTTATCTCTTATTCCAATCTTTGGGTTTTTTTTTTTTTAATGTTTTATTTCTGAGAGAGAGAGAGGCAGTGTGAGCAGGGGAGGGTCAGAGAGAGAGGGAGATAAAGAATCTGAAGCAGGCTCCAGGCTCTGAGCTGGCAGTCAGCACAGAGCCCGACGCGGGGCTCGAACCCACGACCATGAGATCATGACCCGAGCCAAAGTCAGATGCCTAACTGACTGAGCCACCCAGGCGCCCCATGGGACAGCTTTTAATTCCAGAAGAATGTTACGATAGTTCTTCTCAGAGCTTTTTTGGAAGGCATCATTTCTCTCCTGTTTCTCTTACCTCTTGGCTGAAGTGGGCTACTACTGTGTGGATTGAAATGTAAAGTGTCAAGGTTATTGAGGCAGTGCTATTATTGCTTGTGTGAAAATTGTTTAGAACTCTAGATGCTTTTAGTTCATTCATTAGTCAGACAGCTAAAAAAAAAAAAAGAATGGTTGGAAGATTAATAATGTCACTTACTCTATTTTAATCACATTTTGATTTGGTGGTATTATTTGTATTTTAAACAGTTTATAAATAGTTAATATTTGAATCTGTAGATCAGTTTGCTCTCCCTGTGATTTTTACCCCCAAACATAGGTATACCCCAATCTTGAAAACATTTAGTCTGCATCAAAGCATACAAGGCAAATCCTTCATTATACTTTTTAAAGCTTTTTAAAAATGTTTTATTTATTTCTGAGAGAGAGAGAGAGAGAGAGAGAGACAGCGTGGGCAGGGGAGGGTCAGAGAGAGAGGGAGATACAGAATGTGAAGAAGGCTCCAGGCTCTGAGCTGTCAGCACAGAGCCCGACATGGGTCTCAAACCCATGAACAGTGAGATCATGACCAGAGCCGAAGTCAGATGCTTAACCGACTGAGACACCCAGGTGCCCCTCATTATACTTTTTAAAAGTTTTGTTTAATGTTTACTTTTTAAATTTTAGTATGTATAATATTAGTATGTATGTGTGTATGTATTTATTACATATTATGTATGTATGCATGTATATATGTATGTATTTATTCATTATAGAGACAGAGAGT